CTCCATTCTTAAAATCCAAGTTAACTGCTAGTCCACCGACATTACGGATTTTATATTTACTATTTTGAGACATCCTTTCTTAAATATGTGTATACTAACATCTTGTCTAACTATGTCCTTCCCTTTCCATAGAATAGCGTAAAATACGTTTCAATCCTTTTACAACGCACTGGGTATAAGAATTAATGAGAATACATAAAAAACTTAGATATACCCAAATAATTAATGATATGTATTTTACCAAATAATGTAAAATTGCTTTATGTCTATACATGTAGTTCTCGCCTAAGTGATAGAAGTATATTCTTCAGTTTTTGTTGTTGAGTTGAGTTGAGTTTATTGATTTCACATTTCACATGCAGAAATAATACAGATAACAAAATATACATAAAAGACATATTGTTTCATAATATAACAAAATGATTATATTAATTGACAAGGTAATCATCACATTTGTTTGACAACTAATATCATTTAAAGGAAACCCAGATAAAAGTACAAACTGTGAAATGTGCAGGAACCTATAGAAAAGCAGAGCTTGTAAAGAATAGGTTCCTGGGCGACTTGAAAAATAACAGGGACAGAAAATGTTTACTGTAGAGAGAGGTACACAATTAGAATTAAGACGGTGGTAGTTTGACAAATAGTTGTTTGCGAGTTCAATACAATACAATACAGAAAAAAGAAAGAAAAAGAAATACATTAAACCGAAGAGTAGTAACGAGCCAATAAATAGCAGAGTATGCACCATACATGTTTGCACCACCTGAACGTTTACAAAAACCGAACAATAGAAATCATGAATTATTTATTCCTTTCCTGTTAAAATGCACTTAAATGTCACATAGGCAAAAGAACGCCTAAAATTGCAAATGAATTGTAAAATGAATTGTAAAATGGTACACGTTATAAAAAAAGAACATTATACATGAAATGTCTAATCATCATTATTATTGTAGGCATTCAAAAAATGTAACTGGAGTTTATATTTAAATTGATGAATAGAAGAAGAGTGAAGTAAATCAGGATGAAGATTGTTCCAAAAAGACGGACCAGTATATACGATTGTTTTTTGAGAAAATGAAGTGCGTAAACGGGGGATGTGAAAATCATTCCTTTTCCTGGTAGGGTAGGAATGAATATCCAAGTTCTTAGTGAAAAGAGAAGCAATAGAATCAGGCAAATCATTTGTTGTAAGTTGATACATGAAAATACCCAAATTATAGAGAAATATATCAGACACATGTAAAAGGTTATTGTTGAAAAATAAGATGTTTGCATGTGACCGGAAACCAACATTGTGAATTATTCTCAGGGCTCTTTTTTGAATGACCAATAAACTATGCAGTTGAGTCTTGGAGCAGTTGCCCCATGCTAAAATACCGTAATTTAAATAAGGGAAAATTAAGGTGGAGTATAGATTCAACAGGACATCAAGAGGAAAAAAGTGTTTAAGTCTGTTGATGACGCCGGTATTTCGTGATAAAAGTTTACATAAATTTCCAACGTGCATTTTCCAATTAAGTTTACAGTCTATAACAAGACCAAGAAATTTTGTGTGTTCAACAAATAAAATGTTTATGTCATTAATGGAAATGTTACCAGGTAGTGATGTTATGGAGTTACTGAAAAGCATATAGTTCGTTTTAGTCACATTAAGAGATAATTTATTGGCATTAATCCACTCCAAAACAGATAGTAATTCATTGTTTACAACGTCAACAATAATATTGGGATTTGGATGAGTAAAGAAAATATTGGAATCATCGGCAAAAAGTATGAATGACAAAATGGGTGAGGAAGTTTGGAAATCATTAATGTAAAGTAGAAACAAGAGCGGACCCAGGAGAGATCCTTGCGGGACACCACAAGTGATATGTCGTAGACATGAGTCATGATCATTTAAATTAACATATTGCATTCTGTCTGTGAGGTAATTCCTGAACCACTCCAAGGCCTTCCCTCTGATCCCATAATGGGATAGTTTATATAAGAGAATATCATGGTTAACTGTGTCGAAGGCCTTGGAGAAGTCCAGGAAAATGCCAATAGTATGGGACATATTATCAATAGCACATGCAATCTTATTAATGAACATGAGTAATGCATGAGTTGTGGAGTGTTTACGTCGGAAACCATATTGAGATGACGATAATATATTAAATTTAGATATGAATTTAAAGGTACGAGTATAAATAAGCTTTTCTAACATTTTTGAAAACGACGAAAGCAAGGAAATTGGGCGATAATTACCCAAGTCATCTTTACTACCAGATTTAAATATAGGAACCACCTTAGCAATTTTCATTTTTTGAGGTACAATACCATTTAGTAAAGATAAATTTAAAATATGAGCAAGAGGATGGGCAATCACACCGATTACCTTTTTTAAAAGAAAATTAGTTATGCCATCAGCACCTGCACTTTTTTTATTCTTAAAACTATTGACAATACTAATTAATTCAGAACAGTCTGTTGGAGTTAAAAAGAATGAACTTTGGTTGGAATTTGTGAGAAAAGAATGAAAGGGTTTACCAGATGTGGGTATTTTCTCAGCTAGCTTTGGCCCTATTTGAACAAAAAAAGAATTAAAAGATTCAGCTAAATCACGAGAGTCTTGAATCTTCACACCATCATCAATCACACTCTCAATGTGTATAGACTTACTTTTACTTTTCAGGACATTATTAATAATCTTCCACGTATTTTTAGCATCATTTTTATATAAATTGAATTGTGAAGAATAATAATCTTTTTTAGCCTGTCTCAATAAAGATGTAAGAATATTACGATGTCTATTGTATTTCAATTTAGAGCCCTCAGTTTCTTTTACTTTATATTTATAGAACAATTTGTTTTTACGGTTAATGCACTTCAAAAGAGATTTAGTGACCCAGGGCAGTCTGGGCACTTTTTTTGTAATTAGAACGCAATGGAATACATATCGGAATATACAGGTTGTATAAATCATCGAAAATTTCAAGGAACCTATTATAACAATCGTTTACATTTTGACAATTATATAATTCAGACCAATCAGTAGAGATAAGACTTTGTCGAAATCGTTCGATGTTCACATGGGAAAAATTACGAAAACCCGACACCTGCTTACTGGAGGTACAATGTGAATGAAAATTGGGAATGAAAGCAAACACTGGGAAGTGATCACTCAAGTCGGAAAGTACTATACCAGATTCAATATAAGAAGATACATTTGTAAAAATATTATCGATCAAAGTGTGACTGCTATTTGATATTCTTGTTGGTTTGGTGATTTGGGGAAGAAAAGAATGGGATAAAAGCAAATTTAAGAAATCCAAATACTGAGAATTTGAGTCACACGATAACAAGTTGGCATTAAAGTCGCCCATTATAAAGCACATCTTGTTGGCAATATGAGGTGATGATAAAATAGTCTGAACAATTTCAAGAAATTCAATGAAATTACTTTGAGGTGGCCTGTAGATTTCACCAATAACGATATGTTTTTTACCAGGAACTTCGATCTCTATAAATATGCTTTCAAATATATCAGACATGATGGTTAAGTCATTAAGTATTTTGGATGCATAATCATTTGAAATATACAAGCCAACTCCGCCGCCAGTTTTGTTTTTCCTGTTATTAGTGACAAGAGTCTAGCCATCAATAAAAAATAGTGAGGAGTTAGATTTAATCCAGGTTTCACAAATACCAATGAATGAACAATCATATTTAATTTTGTCTAGGAGTAGTTGAAACTGGTCAAAATTTTTACCGAGACTTCTGACATTGCATTGTAGAAAAGATAGTTTATTGACAGCCTTTGAAAAATGATCAATGAACTGAGATTCTGTAAAATAGCGTGAATGTTTGCTGCCTGACAATGACTCACATGAGTCCATGTTCAATTGCAACTCAGCAGTGCATAAATTTAAATATTCAGCCGTGTCAGCTTCATGACGAACGTTATCTGTAGTTATGTAAGAGGAGGATGCCTGTGAATTATCAGGTGGTAAAAGTTGTTGATCATTACCAACATTAGATAATAGAGGTTCAGTCATTGATAAAACATGAAGTAACAGGTGAGTAACGGAGAATCCAGTAGATGAACTGGAATGACATGTATATAAATATGAATAGGAAAGAAGAACGTTCAGGTGGTGTAAATACACAAAAGGCGTGGTTTATAATATGACATTTGTTGTATAGTAGAATTAGAGATGGTTCGCAATAGAATGTAATAACCGATTTAGTACAGGTAGCATCAATCAGGAAGTTAACTGAATCAATTGTACACACGTATACATTCATTGGAAATAAGATCGAGACAAAACACAGATAAGAAATAAAAACAAAAAAATTCATTACTTAGCACTTGTACTAGAACACGTACAAGAAACTCATGGGCTCCTTTCAGCCACCGCACGTAGAAGAAATTTAGAAAATTCAGGCAAAAGCAAGAGAGAGGGGGGGGGGGGAGAAAGTAGGGGGGGAGAAAGTAGGGGGGAGTGGGGGGGGGGGAGATACCCTTCTTACGGTATCGGGTTACATGTATGTGTACATGTTAATCAAAAGTTAATTCAGAATTTAAAATGCATTTAAGTTGAAACGGTAAAATAGATGTACATGTATCACACAGTAAACAGAGCACATTCCAGAGAAGGTAGAGAATAAATATCGTGATTTGAGTTCAATGCTGAGGTGATTTACCTTACTCCTGCTGGTTATTCCACTTGGAGGTGTTTTTTTCCTTCCATTTGAGTTCAACTGAAGCTCCGACAACGATTATCTTAGTGGAGACTCCCTTTTGCTTCCGGAGGTCGTAAGCGATCTTGGCAAGCATTCCCCTCCTGGCTTTGAGGGCTGGGGGGAGGTCTGTGCGCACTGTGATTCTCACTGACGCCGTGGCGCGATCTTGGGGGATCCTATGGCGCTGACCGTTTTCGAAAGCGGCGAGCAGGCGGTTACGATCCTCCATGTAAACGAACTTCGCGATGATTGCATTCGGGGCTTGTGGGCGGGTCGATGAGGCGGTAGCTCCGTTGTTGCGTCTTGGTAGGCGGTGTGCGTTTGCGATCGCGATGTCGTTAGCTTCCCTTTCATTGATGCCGAGGTGTATGAAGACCTTTTGCAAGACGTCGCGTACTTTTTCGTCGGGGGTTTCATTAACGCCGTAAAAAAGAAGATTGGCGCGCCGATTGTAGATTTCCATTATGACAATCTTCTCTTCGAGGTCGGCGATTTTTTCCGCCATTTTCTTTTCAATCGCGGGTAGCTTTACATGCTGAAGATTGGCAACCAAATCGGAATTCATGCTAACAGAATCCTCGAGTTCGGTTTGCCTGCGCTTGATGGAGGCCACCTCTGCTGTGAGTAGGTCCAGTTTCCCGCATACTGCAGCTGAGCTAGCGGTTATCGAACGCTGGATGTCGGCGAGCGTCAATTCGGGTTCCGCTTGCGGGCGAAGTAGCGGCTCACTTGGGCCTGGCTTGCTGGCACCTCTCGTAGTATTTGCACCTTGCGGGTCTGGAGATTGGGCGGGTCCGTTTGTGCTTACAGATGAACGTAAAGCCCTGGAATTAGCCATTTCCTTCAAAATTCGCGATACTTTACCCTGCTTCTAGTGTGGAATGAGATTCTAAGATATGAATATCCTCTATAGTCCAGTAAAATCCTTGAAGCAGAAATGCTTAAGCTCGAGTAAGGGTTCGTTGGGTGAATAAAAGGGCGGTGGCTGGAGAGAGTACAAATTACACGTCCGTTCCCATTGAAGTCTGTTAATTTTTTTGTACCTGATAATCTTTAGAATTGTACTCAAATTCTGTTCCTAAGATTCTGATAGTATCGAAAAGGCGGATAGCTTCAATAATCCGAGGACCTCGATGCTTTCTAGTCTTCAATATTTTTGCTTTTTCTGTCATAAATGTCAAATTAAAATATTTACCAAATTACTTTAGCACATCTAATAATACTTCAACTGAATTATAATCTTTTTAAAATGCACAAAAATCATTTGCATGCAATGATAGTTTTGATTTAATTGAGCCAAAATTAATACCTCTAATTTCTTTCATATTTCTTAAACTAGAAGCTAACATTTCAATTGCGATGGTGGCCTCCTGCGTTCTAAATAACCTCTCTAATTTGTTGAAAAATATTTACTATATATTTCTTATCTTATTTGTATGCTTCGTACATGTTTATCGTATGATATAATTGTATATGATTTTTTTTTTTTATTTAATTATTTTTGTAAACATTTTATTCATTGTATTTGTTATTATTCGAATTTGTGTACTTTGAATTTGAATTTGTATCTTTTTGAACGCAGAAATAAAACCAATCGAACATACAAACAAACAGTAGGAAAAGGGTACGGGGATAAAGGGACTCATTTTCTTCCTCTCCTGGAGATGGGGAAATACCTGGTTGAAGTGCCATTATTGAGTACACGTCATTCAGTGTTACAATACAGTGTTTGAACATGGACCTACTTCACGTAGTATGTCCACGGTTTGAACCAATTTAATACATGTTAGACCTAAGCATACAAACTCCAGTGCTTTACAAATATATTCATGTTCTGTTGAATCGAAGGCTTTCTAAAAATCAATTCATCTGATACAATAAACCTATCCTTGTTTTCACTAGTATTTTAGTAATATAAAACATCCTGTACATTTCTAACAGCGAGTCGGAAGTAATTTCGAGCAGAATTTCACATCGATATTCATCAATGAGATTGGTCGGCAATTATCTTTAAACAATTATCCTTGTCGGGTTTCAAAAGAAATGTGATAACACCTTGTTTTTGACTAGCAGACAGTTGTGATTTTTACAAAAGAATAATTTAGAGGCGATGGTAAGGGGTCAGATACAATGTCCCAGAATGTGACATAGAATGCCTTTGTGTGGCCATCATTATTTGGTGATTTACCTGTTGACATTTAATTAACCGCCGCCTGGCCGTCTGCTACTGTTAACTGGACTTCACAAATTTCCCGAGATTCTTCTCTCAAGTGATTAACTTTGTATCTAAACAATTGCTAGCGTTTGTGTCATTCACTTCAACATGCTTTTTTCAGTAAAATGACAGACAAAAACATGACTATGGATGAGTGTCCATTTTACTATTCTTGTCTACCTTTTATTCCAGATCCAAACTATTGACAGCCAAGAAGAATCTCTTAGGTAGACAACGTGAATAGGAGTTTAACGGACTCATGTAAGTTCCTGTTATATTTTGGTGTCTGATATAATCATGACCAAAGGGCAATAATCGCAGTACATATTCATTAGTTTTTCGGTTCGACGAACAGCGTTCTATTCAATTTCGTTGGGAAATACCTCATTTTAATTTTGTATTCCCTTTAAATTTCCTTTCTGTGATCACACTGCTAAGGACCTCAACTGGGAATATGTTAACACCCTTCCACATGTACTTCATAGTTAATATCAATTTTACTTCATTTTATTTGCTTATTTAGGAATTATAGCACAAGTAAATTTCGTTAATCTGACCAAAGCCAACCCACATAGTAATTTGCAGTTAATACAAAGCGCTCCAAATTTTAATCCAGAACGGATTATTATAAGGGTCCCTTACACAATGATAACAAACTTCAAAATAACAATCCAATCCTTTCTCTAACAAAAGTTTCCGAACCAGTCCATATTAAATTATGCCTAAAAGATATTGTTCGGGTGATGTGCCAAATTTCGGTTAAAAATCCCACCAAAAGAGGCAAAACTTTCTCACTCTCTTTCTGTCCGTGTTTATATTCATCACGCTGTATATCTGATATTCATGTTGATTTATGTTTTGAATGCTGGTTGGGGGCAAGTTTCCATGATAACAGAATTATGATGAATTGTCAATATTCTACTATTTACCAATGATTCTAAAATGAAACCATAGCAATGATTTGACACTGAGATTGGTAAAACAATTTACTGTTAAATTTCCCGCCCATTGCCCTCTCTATCTCGTTTCACACCCCCCCCCCCCCCCCAACCCGTACCTAGCCATTCTTGTCTATCCCGCTCGCGTCTTAATTTGTTCGTACCATAGCGAGCCCAGATTGAGCTCGTGAAGAAAACCTGCGCATGCGCGCCTGGGAAACGTTATGGTTGCTGATAGAGTTATAATAATTTAATATGCTAACTCACTTTTCATCAACCCATCGTTGGCTCAATCGGTAGAACAGACTCTTTGAACGTTGAAGTTTTAGGTTCGAATCTCAGTAGTTATTCAGTTTTTTGCCTTCATAAATAATGAGGCAAAGCAATAAATAATCAAAGTCTAATTGTTTTTGACCTCTTTGCAAGCTTTCGTAGCTTGTTATGTTTGGAAATGAGTTCACTTGAGTGGGCTTGCTTGAGTACGAAATAATAATAAGACGTATCCCGCTCTCCCTGGTGACGCCAAATACGTTTTGATGATAATCATATGTATAATTGTTCTTCACTATCACATCATATTGATTCGACTGGTAATATTTGGAGGTTTTGTGGTATAGTGGTTCATTAATCACGTTACTCTTAATCTAAGGGTTGATGGTTCGAATACCAGCCCGGCATTATTATTTGGCAACACGTTAATCCATATTCACCACCCTCTACCCAGGTGTAAATGGGTAACTGACAATTGGTCGATTAATAATAATCGAGGGCCTGCAGGAACAGCAGTATTAACCTGGTACGCTGGGTTTATAGGACCCAATTAATATTTCGTATCTTTTTGTATTCATTTACAATTGCAGGGCAAACTACTACATTGTGTGAGGAGTACGGATCAGACGAAATGAGACAATCTTCAGTCCTCTTCAGACTGCCTCCTGACTTGTTCTTAATCTGCAGCAGATAGCATGTGGTGATTGACGGCAGGAAGGAGAATATACACGACTGTAAACACACCCTCTCATCTCATTGTAATTAGTTACTTTAGTTAGTTATAGCCCTAACTATTAGAACAAAATACTTTTGTCATAATGGTATATACTGTTGCTTAGTGACTACTGAAAATTTCAAAACGATTATTTAACCCAGGTTTATTTTATCATTAACATGACTAAGGTGGTTTATCACAACTAAATATGTTTATTCAACCTTAATATAACCGTTGCCTACTGAAAGTGATGATATCTGTCTTAAACCTTTGGAAGATATGAATATTCTCTAGTCATCGAGTTTAAATTGTCCATTGATATACTGTTGATGTTTGCATTATGTATCATATCAGTGCACATTGAGATAGGAGAATCACAATGTCGGAATTTGAACGCAAAGTTTCACGCAATTTGCAGTGCCCTGTTTGTTTCGAGCTGCTGTGTGACCCGAAGCAGTTATCATGTACACATACCTTCTGTAAGAAATGCCTTAATGATATTCTTAAAAGCTCTTCAAAAGATTATCTAACATGTCCCATCTGTCGAAGCATAACATCTGTAGAGGGTGGCAATGTCTTTAATCTAAATACTAATGTTCCTCTTAAATCTCTCATTGATGATGTGAGAAATAGCCAGCAAGTCTGTGAAATGTGTGATTCAAACTCGAGAGCTGTACATTTATGTTGTGAGTGTGGTAAAAACATGTGTAACACATGCCTGGACATTCACAACAAATGGCCCCTTAATGACAAGCATAGAGTTGTGAGAGCAGAAGACGTCAGAGAGGGAAGGGTGGTTATCGAAAAAGAAGTTTACTGCCAAGAACACAAAGCAGATGAACAAAAATACATTTGCACTGATGTGTGTATCACTTGTAAGAAGTTCATCTGCTTGAGATGTCGAATGTTGTATCATGACAAGAAAGGCCACACTGTTCAAGATGCTAAAGAATACAATGCTTCTACCAAGACACAAATTGAATCCCTCCAAGCCCGAAGTAAGACGAAGGTTACAACCATCAAGAATCACATGACCTGCATCAAGAATCGGAAGAAGCGTGTCACTGATCATATTGCCTGCAAAAAGGCTGAAAACAACAAGATTTATCAAGAATCACTCAAGCACTTGGACGCTCAGGAAGAGAAATTATGTAAAAGCTTGGATGAGATGAGAGATGTTGATGAGAGGTTGATTACGAGTATTGAGAGTGCGAGTGTGTTAG